AACGAATGCGCATTTTCCTCCGAGGAATCGATTGTGAATTATGGGCAATTGTCCGAAATGGACCAATTGACATGAAAGCAGACGATGAGGAGGATTGGTCTGATGAACAAAAGAAAAGTGCACAACTAGACTCCAGGGCTATGCACATTTGCTTTCTGCTATATCTGAAGATGAGGGTGAAAGAGTAAACAAATGTGAATCAGCTAAAGAAATCTGGTCTATTCTAGAAACAACTCATGAAGGAACGTCAGAAGTTAAGGAAACCATAATAGATTTACTACTAAAAGAGTAGGAAACCTTTGATATGATTTCTGGTGAATCCATTTCAGAAATGGATAAGAGATTTTCAACCCTTGTCAATCGACTCAAGGGATTAGGAAAATCCTTCACAAGCAAAGAACTTGTTAGAAAAGTACTTAGGTCTCTTCCTCTCGAATGGATGGCTACAAGAACAGCCATTGAGAAAGCTAAAGACCTCAATGTCCTATCTCTTGAGAATCTGATTGGTTCTCTTCTTAGCCATGAGGAAGTTCTCAAACAAATGAGAAAGTTAGCAAAGAACTTGTTAGAAAAGTACTTAGGTTCTCTTCTTCAGGATAAGAAAAACAAATCAATTGCCTTTCAGTTTGTATGTGCAGTAGAAGAAGAGAAACTGGATGAGGAGTTTGAAAATGAACTTGCTCTTACCAGCATGAAACTTCAAAGAATGATGAAATTTAAACAAAATCTAAATGCAAAAAGGGGAAGTTTCAACAATAACTACTCTTTCAGATCCTCTAGAAACATGTTTAATAATCCCCCTAGATCATCTGGACATCATTCTAGCGGAGCAAATGACAAGAATTCATTTGGGTCCAACAGAACTGAATCTGGTCCTAAAGATTTTAAGAACCCCAATGACAAAACTGACTCAACTATCTGTTTCAAATGTGGTAAAACAGGACACATAAGAGCCAATTGTCCTCTAAACAAAAAGAAAGAAAAGGCAATGACTGCCTCCTGGAGTGAATACGGCTCTGAAGATGAGCCTGAGGTTGTTGCATACATGGGACTCAACTCCAATCTCGATGAAGACACAACTGTTGAAAAGGTATGGTCAGATTCGTCAGATTCTTTCTCTGACTCTGTCTCTGAATCTCATAACGAAGACTTCTTTCTTCATGCCCTGTCAAATCTTCAAAATGAATGCAACTTATTGAAAAGCAAGTTATGTCTGACTGTGACTCAACTACATGAGAAAGAAACAGAAATATGCAAACTTAAGAAACTTATTGATAATCAACATACAGCTCAGATCACTCAAGATACACAAGTAGCTAATCTTGTAGCTGAAAATAGAGAACTTAAGAGACAAATTAACTTCTATCACAAAGCATTGAATAAGAACTCTAGAATTTCTAATCCAAATCTCAGAAATAACCCCTGTGCTTCACCATATAAACATCCTTACTTGAGAAACCATTCTTATTCGTGGAGATACCCTCTTTTCTGCTCTAACTGCAGTATGACTGGTCATGAATATACTCACTGTCATTACAGGAAACCAAAGCCCAAACTTGTTTGGGTTGTTAAAACCTCTAATTAAGCTTTTTCCTATTCAGAATAATAATGGTGCTAACATCTGGTACTTAGATTCTGGATGCTCTCACCACATGACAGGTAACAAAGACCTGTTTTCTTATCTAAATCCAAAAAGAGGAGGTAAAGTTTTCTATGGTAATAATAATTGTGCTTCAGTTGTTGGGAAAGGAACTGTTAGCAGCAATTCTTCTCTCATAATAGAAGATGTTCTTTATGTTGATGGTTTAAAGCATAATCTGCTCTCTATTAGTCAAATTTGTGGGTCTACCTATCGTGCTACTTTTGATCCCTTCTGTTGTATCATTGAACGCATCTCTGACAATGCTGTAATTTTTAGAGGAAAGAAAATTAATAATGTGTATATAGTGGATTTATCCACCCTGGATCTCTCAGAGGATATATGTCTGAGTTCCTTGTCTGACCCTGTTATCAACTGGCATAGGAAACTAGGTCACATGAGTATGTCACGACTTGCTAAACTCTCTAAACTTAACATTGTTAGAGGTCTGCCTCTGATCAAGGCAACAAACAATTTTACATGTGAAGCTTGTATTTTAGGAAAACAATGTAAAAAATCTTTCAAAAGTAAACAGGATGTTACTACTGCAGTGTCTTTTGAACATTTACATATGGATCTGTTTGGACCCACCAATGTCCAAAGTTTTGGTGGAAAATCTTATGTGCTTGTTATTGTTGATGATTATTCTAGATTCACATGGGTATTCTTTCTGTCATCCAAAGACGAAGCTTTCTCAAAGTTTCAGTCTCTTGTTTTTCTTGTCCAAAAACAATATGACTGTCAAGTTAAGAGTATTAGAAGTGATAATGGTGGTGAATTCATTAATGATTATTTTAGCTCCTTCTGTGATCAACAGGGTATCCTACATACCTTCTCTGCTCCTAGAACTCCACAACAGAATGGTTTTGTGGAGAGGAAAAATAGAGCTCTTATTTAAACTGCTCGGAGCATGTTGTTAGAATTTGACTGTCCCAAGTTTCTCTGGGGAGAAGCTGTTAATACTGCCTGTTATGTTTTGAACCGGACCACTATTCGCAAGATAATTAACAAGACTCCTTACAAAATCCTGAAAAGAAAAACCCTTAAGCTTTCTTATTTTCATCCTTTTGGAACCAAATGTTTCATTTTAAACACTAAAGATTCAATTGGAAAATTTGATGCAAAATCTGATATTGGTACCTTTCTTGGATACTCTAGTAAAGGTCAAGCATACAGGGTCTCAATAGAAGGTCTAGAAAGGTTGAAGAGTCAGTGCATGTTCGGTTTGACTCATCCCATCCATCCCTTCCCTTGCACTCTGATATTAATAACTATGACTTTTTGCCCCTTAGCTCTTCTCTTGAGACAAGTAAAGCATCCAACTGTGAGGAATCTCATGGTACTGAATCCAACCCATCAGTACCTCCTGAAATTGATTCAACTGAAAATCTGGAAAATGTTGAAGCTCCAGCTCACATCAGAAAAAGACATTCACCTTCACAAATCATAGGTAAACTGACAGACCCTATCCACACCAGAGGTAAGCATATCCCAGGTCAGTATGCATTTGTTTCTCTGCTTGAACCTAAAAACTATAAAGAAGCTATTCTTGATGAAGAGTGGTCACTTGTTATGCAAGAAGAACTGTCTCACTTCATTAGGTTAAATGTATGGGAACTTGCCCCTCGACCTGTTAACATCACTGTCATAGGTACTAAGTGGATTTTTCGAAATAATTCAGATGAATTAGGATGCATTATCAAAAATAAAGCTCGTCTAGTGGCCCAAGGATACAATCAGGAGGAGGGCATTGACTATGATGAAACTTTTGCCCCTGTTGCTCGTCTTGAATCCATTAGACTTCTGTGTGCCTATGCTAGTTATATGAACATAAAACTTTTTCAAATGGACGTTAAAAGCGCTTTCTTAAATGGAGAAATCAAGGAGGATGTCTATGTTGAGCAACCTCCTGGATTACAGATTGTGAATTCCCTTATCATGTTAATAAACTGTCAAAAGCACTGTATGGTATCAAACAAGCTCCCAGAGCTTGGTTTGAAAAACTGACCTCCTTTCTAATTTCACAAGGATTCAGTCAAGGTGGGGTTGACAAGACACTTTTCATCAAACGACAGAATAAGCACTCATTGATTGTCCAAGTATATGTGGATGATATAGTATTTGGTAGCACTAACTCAAACATGACTCATTGATTGTCCAAGTATATGTGGATGATATAGTATTTGGTAGCACTAACTCAAACATGTGTGATGAATTCTGCTCTACCATGAAAAATAAATTTGAAATGAGCCTCATGGGGGAATTACACTTCTTCCTTGGTCTGCAAATTCATCAATCTGACTAAGGAATATTCATTCATCAGACTAAATATCTTCAATCCATGTTGTCCAATTTTGATTTATTAAAAGTCAATCCTTGCAAAGCTCCCATTGCCTCAAACACTCACCTAGACTATGATTTAGATGGGGAACCTGTCTGTGAAAGAGGCATGATAGGGTCTTTGCTTTACCTTACAGCCAGTAGACCTGACATACAATTCAGTTTCTGCCTATGTGCCAGATTTCAACATCAACCAAAAAATAGTCACCTAACGGCTGTGAAAAGAATTTTTAGATACTTGAAGGGAACAAGTGACCTTGGTCTGTGGTACCCTAAGTCTGATTCCTTCTCTCTTACTGGGTACTCAGACTCAGATTTTGCTGGGAGCATTTCAGACAGAAAAAGTACCAGTGGTACTTGTCAATTTTTTGGTCGTTCTCTTGTGTCATGGTCAAGTAAAAAGCAAGGATCTGTAGCCTTGTCAACTGCTGAGGCAGAATATGTTGCTGCAGGAAGTTGCTTCACTCAAATTCTGTGGTTAAAATCCCAACTAATTGACTATGGTATCAAGGTTGACAAAATTCATGTTTTCTGTGATAACACTAGTGCCATATGTATGTCTAAAAATCTTGTTCATCATAGTAGAACCAAACATATTGAAGTAAAACACCACTTTATCATAGATATAATACAAGCTGGTCATATTGAATTGAATTTCATTCCCATTGATTTTCAAATTGCGGATATCTTCACTAAAGCACTATCTTCAGAACGATTCATAAGACTCTATGATGAACTTAGTCTTCGGTCCCTTTACTCCATCCAAGAATGTCACTAAACCAAGTTATGTTCTTCCTTTACTTATGTATTTACTTTTATTTGTCTCTTGAGCACTTTATTTATGTCTGTTTTGTTCTTCTAATTATTGTTAGTTAATGCATGTGATGTTTAGTCTCTCAATGAAACTGTGATTTTATAAGTACCTCGTTGCAACTCTTGACATTCTAATGCAGCTATATAATTCATCATCCCCTCTCTATTTCATCTCACTCTCATTATTCCCTGCTACAGCTCTTTCATCATGACTGAGCTCTTCACATCCTCCAACATTCCTGGTGCTATTGTTACCTATGTTGGTAGATCATTTAATGAGCCTATTGACTTCAACCTTCATCGTTTCAAAGAGTTCTATGCTTCTCGCCCTCTATCTGATCCCATTACCCTCGACCTGTTTGAATTCAAATCCCATGGGATTGGCATTACACCATTTATCCGAAACCTGGGGTAAGAATTCCTACTTCACTACCCGCCCCTTGCTGCTTGCCTTCTTCCAGTTCGCACATTCTATGCTAATCTGGACTGCCAGGGGATCACCACTAGAAAACTCACCACCCTGGTTAATGGTTACTTCATCTCCCTCACTTCTGAAGCTATTGGCATTCTTCTGAATCTTCCCACTGGAGGACCCCTTCCCTTGGCTCATGAAGATGAGTTTTTGTTTTATGACTTTGACCATGTGATCGAGTATTCCTGGATCACTCAACGACCAGTGGGGGCACATGAAGTAATCACCTCGGCTGATCTGAACCCCACTCTACGCACTCTCCACTATTTCATTGGCCATCTTTTCTTACCCCGAAACCATGGACTTCACATTGTCAACAAGATAGACCTCTGGGTGCTGTCAAATGCCCTCACTAGAAGAAAGATTGACTATTCTCAACTGCTGTTTGGATCGATTGTTCGAAGTGCTGATGCTCACCTTGGCGGGCGCCTTCCCTATGGTGGCTTCATTACCCTTCTCCTATCCAATCTTGGTATTTCCCTTGATGGATACTCCACTGTGGAATCATCAGTATCAATCCCAGCCCTCACTGTTCTGCAGTTCATTGGAGTTGACCCTCAGCCTTCGAAAGGGGAGATATCTCTGGACCAGCAGCAAGGAAAACCAAACCCTTCTCCAAATCAATGTCTAAATCCCTGAAACTCGGTGAATCTTCCTCAGTATGCAAAAACCTTATCATCTCGTTTGACGAAGAAGAGGTTGAACTGGAACCTGAAACCATATCTGAGAAGGACATCAGACTCTTTGCTGAAGACCTTGAAAGAGACTTAATGGAAGGAGTTGATGGTACTCAAATGGAAAATGTGATGGAGGAAGAAGTTGGAACTCGGGGGGGGGGGGGGGGGGGGGGGGGGGGAGGGGGTCTCAGGACATCCTCCCTCAGAATGCAGAAACTTAGAAAGTTGAATCTTAAGGGGAGTCAGGGGAACTTTCAGCGAGTACAGTCCTCTAAGAAAAGTGATTTAGAGAAATAAAAGTTGTCAGCAGTGTTTTGTGTCTTACATTGTTCTGTGTCTTAAGTGTGTGTGGTTCTTGACCTTAAAGGTCTACTAAGTGTGCTTCTTCTATTAAGACCATAATGGTCTAAGTATGTTTCCTTTGTTGTGTCTTAAACAAATTGCATCATGAAATAAAAGATTCTCTTAATTCTGGGTAGTTTGCAGAACTTGGTACTTCAAGGAATGATTTAAATGGTTGCGGGAATGAAGGCTTGAACACATGGGGAGATTGTTGGCCCTTACCTCATCCCTCTCCATGAAACCAAGAAGTCCAGTCATTCATGGAAGCCCACCTGATGCGCAGCGTTTTACCAACCTCATCAAGAGCCCTTTCGCGTCTTCGCCTCCATTCATCATCATCAAAATCAAACTGTCAAGGCTTCTGCAACAGTGTCTCGTGCATCAGCTCTCTCCCCTCATTACTGCAAACATACGGTAAAGAGCATTAAAGTGTAAAGAGACGAAGGAAAGGGGCTGCTGATTCTATATAAAGACCACTCCTATCAATGGAGAACTTGACAGTTTCCTTGACTCAGTAAGATCTGGTTTGTTCCTTGGGAGTCTCTGGATTGGGTTCGGTTTTTGTGTCTGGATAGCTTGAGTTGGGGCTTGCAGCCAGGAACTCAAGCTTTTCTGGGTGTAGCTTCTGCTCTTGCCTTCTTTTCGTTTTATTATTTTCTTGTTTTGGAATTGATTATGTTCTTAGAACCCTTGATTTGAGTTTGTTAGGTCATCACTGTTATTCTTCCCTATCTAAACGAGATCATTCCCTTGTTGGATAAAATTATTGTTTCAATCCTTTGATTACTTTAGTTGAGGGAATGGAATTGGGTACTTTAGTTGAGGGAACGGACTTTATCTTGGGCTGCTAAGGAAACTTTGATCAAGTTAGTTGCTTTAGCTTTGCCCCTACATGTCATGTCGTGTTTTAAGCTCCCTCTGTCTCTCTGTCGCCTCCTAGATAAGCATATAGCACGGTTCTGGTGGGGCATTGAGAATGGCCATTCAAAAATTTGATGGATGTCGTGGAGAAATATGTGCAGGAGTAAGCATGATGGTGGTATGAGATTCCGTCGCTTCGAGCAGTTTAATCAAGCTCTCTTGGCCAAGATTGGCTGGCGCATCCTTAATGAACTCCAATCTCTCTTAGCCCAAGTCTATAAAGGAAAGTACTTTCCCACTGGTACGTTCCTCACTGCTCATGCTCGATCTCGCCCATTTTGGGGTTGGCAGAGTATCCCATTTGGTAGAAATCTGCTAGAGAAGGGTCTTCGGTGGCAGATTGGTGATGGTCAAACCGCTTCTCTTCTGCACTCCAGCTAGATTCCTCAGTTGCATCCCTCTGCCCCGGTGTATAGTCCTCAAGTTCTACCGGAGGGCGGGGACCCTTGTGTTTCTGAAGTTTTGTGCACAGGGGAGGGGCGATGGTGCGATTCCAAACTTGGTCAATGGTTTGATCCACCAACTTGTCAGGCAATTAAAGAAATCCCCCTCCCACGACAGAATTTGGCGGATCGGCTTATCTGGCATGACACGACTGATGGTCAATTTACTGTTAAGTCGGCTTACCATCTTGCTGTCCTTTTGGATAAACAGAAGGGTGGATGGCGCTCTTTGGCTAGTTGGATGGATAAGGCTAGCTGGGTCCGTCTTTGGGAGGCTAATATCCCACCGAAACTGAAGGTGTTCCTTTTGGAAGATCTTTAACCGGATCCTTCCAACTATGAAGGCCCTAATTGAGAGGGAGGTTCGGGTGCACCCTAGGTGTCCGGTGTGCTGGGAGGAAACTGAGACTTTGGAGCATTTGTTTCTTTATTGCCTAGTGGCGCGTGCACTTTGGGACCTCTCGGGATTGGAATTTTTAGGGCAGGGATTGCCTCGCCATACGTCCCCTCTGTTTCTTAAAAGAGTAATGGCTCTCATTCATCAGCCAGACTTGCTTATGGCTCTGGTGGCTGTCCTTTGGCGGATCTGGCGTTCTCGGAATTGGGTTGTCTTTGAAGGAAAACAGTTTGGGATCCCAGCCCTGATGCGGCAGTTTTACCAGCAATATGAGGAGTGGATGAGCCTGCCGATGGATTGAATTCCTCCTCCGCATATCCCGTCTATCCACCCGATTGCCCCTATAGGAGATACTAGGGTCGTCTGCCTCTGGGATGGGGCTACCCGGCAGGGGTCTCACTCGGCTGGTGGTATGGTCCTTATGACCCGAGACCGTTATCTACTTTTGGCTAGGGGGTTCAGTTTCCTGACCTGGTTGATCCTATGGTCATTGAATTGCTCACCCTCCAGGAGGCTGGCTGGTGTTTGGGTCTTGGGTTCACAGAGGTTAGGTTTGATGGAGATGCCAAGGTGATTATTAACAAGATTATTTCACAGTAGGCCAGTGATAACTGGGTGCGAGCTATTCTAGAAGAAGTTTTACATTATTTTGCTTCTCATCCGGGGTTGGGTGTGCTGTTTGTAGGTCGGAGTAACAATAGGGTAGCGCATAGGGTGGCTAGGAAGACCCTTTCTTTGTCCCCGACTATGAATCGTATTTTTTATTTCCAAGCCTGGCTAGTCTACAGGAATGTAATTATCTTTTCTTGAATCAATATACGATTATCTTCTTTTGCCAAAAAAAAACACCCATGTGGGATATCCCGTCTCTAAATGCCTGCAACTCTAGTGCAAGAACAGAACATTGGCCAAAAATGTATATTGTGGTGAAGTGATTCCAAAAATGTATATCACATTGGTCATGAGTCATTTGTTGCTGAACTAGGTCCATTTGGATTGGATGCAATGGACACATTTTGATCCATATTACTTATTAGGCTTCTCCAATATTTTGTAACCAATCGTTGCCCACCATCTTCAAAAATGCTACCTCATGACCAGTCGCGAATATCGCTGGCTCGAAAGTACAGAATGAAGCAGTTCCTCCTGCCACTAGCGCGGCATTGCTCTGCAGCAAGGATCAAGTTCAAAGCTTAGCCTGCATCAGCTCCAAACTCATTCATGAAACTCAATTGCCAACTCGGCGAGCTGTTGAAGAACCCATAGACTCTCAATTCGCCTCCAAATGGAAAACTAAATTACAAAATCAACGCTGAGAACCAATTGAAGAAACAACGTCAAACCAATAGTTTACCTATCCCAACTAAAACGGAGGCTTTGTAATGTTAGATACGTACCAGCCTCATGTTGCCGTTACCCTCAAACCACCGGAAGCAAAACCAAGGAACATGATATTTTGTACTGCCAGTTGAGAGACGCAGGCCACCATTTAATCAGAAGCTCTATCAAGAAAATGTGACCAACACAGAAAACCAAACTCGCAAATTGGAAGTCCAGAGAACACTTTATTACTGTCACTGAAACCAGAGGATAGCTGAAACGAGGAAATGTTGGTGGTGCCTTCTTTTGTCTGGGCCGACAACCAAAGCCAACAGTTCACCTCGGACGTAGTAAATACTGTACCAAACCACTCAGGGAGGAAAAGGAAGAGGTCAAATAACAAAATGCACACATAGAACAAGGACTCGCTAGACCATCATGCAAACATTATCTAAGTTGGGCTTTCAGAGAGAAACCAATGAACTCCTAGGCCTACTACCATCTTCTTCACCAGCTCAGGGCATCAAGTTCTCGTAATACGCTCAATAACAAGCAATGCCAGTTTAAGACAACACCGCCCACAAATGCCTTCTGCCACCAATTCTTCCATCTTTTCAGAATTCAAATGCCCCACAAATGCCTTCTGCATAATAACATTACGAATAAACATGCACAACTGACATAATCAGCTATCAGCAAACGACCCCCAAAAAAAACTTATCAGGTTTACCAAGTTATCGATGAAACCCCGAAGAAAAATTCTTAGAAAGTATGGGCTATCCAACATAGGCACAACAACTCACCATTGCCCGTCCTGCGTCCTGTTGCTAACCACCATCGTTG